CTCTTACAGTGATCACAGGAGTATTCCACCATGCAAAGCATGTTTCAACTCTTGAAATGCAGAAATTCAGGGGAAAAAAAACGAAGTTTTTACAGCAGTATGTTTTAGACTTATTAATTGTGAAGAAAAAGGAGTGCGAACAGAGGGAAGAAACTGACTTATTTAAAAGACTGGGTTAAAATTTACAAAATGGCAAGTGGTTTAGGGTAGTAGAAGGCATGTATATTTTTGCTGCTACTGAGTAGATATTAGATCTAGAGACTGCAGAATGCATAGAAATGCACAGTTGAGGAGAAAGTGGAAGAGAATGCTATCCAGTACATTCACTGTAGATACGTACCTCCTTTTTAAGATCTTGAAGTATTTCTTCATTTCCTTAAGTGACTATCTTGATTAAGATACTGATATTTGTAGAGTATTTCTAAGGAAAAATGATGTAATGTTAGCACTGCAAACTACTCTGTGAATAACAAGTGTTACCATTGTAGAGAAAGGCAAGAAGCCTTTGAGGAATTCCCGTGTTGCATTACCGGGAGCTACTACATCACCATTGTAGCTACTGCAGAAGTGATCTGAATTAATCTACATGACCTGATCCTGAGTTCATCAGACTTTACTTCTTTGCTTTCTGTCTTACTAGATTTGCGACTATGGAAAGTTTATTGAATTTTCTGTTATCTGAAAACAGTGCGTTTTCTTCTCTCCTATTAAGAAGAAATAAGAGGGGATGCCATGGTAAACCAGTAGTAAAACACTTGACTAGGAATGCACAACATCCTGGGATCAATCCCCCACGATGGAAAAGATCAAATCAAAGAAAATGAGGTAACCATTGTAGAAAAAATAAAACAAATCATCACCAAAACAAAAACACAAGATGGGAGAGGGTATTTAGTTCTTGCAAAGTGTTATTGCATATATTAAACAAAACCAGGCCTAAGGTATGAGTACTCACCTCTTAGCTGATTCAGACTCCTAATTTATCCCTTATTTTTGTTTATTATACTCGGGCCACAGTGTATTCTGTGTTAAGGTAATATTGTCAGTTTCGAAAAGTATAATTTCTATTTCAATGTATTGCTTTACTTATTGTTGTGATGTTTCTCTTCTCACTATCACCCTGGAGGCAGTTAGTGCAGGTCTGCCCATTCTTCCAAAAGGGAAGCCAAGGAATACTGAGCATCGAGTTTTTTTTCCCCAAGATTCCATGGACTGATTAAAGGTGAGTGGAGGTTCCAATGTTTCAAAAAGGCCTTTTGTATCAGGCATGTAGTTAGAGTCAGGCATGTGACACAAAAATGAAGAAGAGAGGATAGAAAGAGTTACAGGATCAAGGTGAACGCATCAGAAATGACACTTTGAGTTCAGGTTTGGTCCGGCCGCTTAAATGGAGCAAAATAAACTGTTCTCATAAGAAGAAAGTTAAATTTGAAAATTAGGAAAATTGATAACCTTCCAAGTCAACATAGACTACAAATTGGGGAAAATGTTCAAGACATGAGAAAAGGGATAGGCCCAGTATTTTCCATGCTTTAGGAAAGAGATGGCCCAGTGAGGGGCTGGAGAGATGGCTCAGTGGTGAAGAGCATGGGCTGCTCTTCGGAGCATCCAGGTTCAGTTTCCAGCCTGAACATGATGCCCAGTAACTGTCCTTAACTCCAGTTCCAAGGAATCCAATACCTTCTCCCACCCTCCAGGGGCATTGTCTGCATAGGCTCACTTATATACATGCAGAGAAAACACTCATACACATAAAATAAAAATAACTTTTAAATATTAAAAAATGTTAAAAATGCCCATGGCAAAGTATCAGGCCAGCCGCCACCCTTTATGCACAGGTGTCAAATAATGGCTAGTGGTTTGCAGGGCACAGGGGATGATGGTATTGTGCTCATTGGATTAACTGAGTTAGCAACCAGCAGGATCCAAGGGAGGGCCACAAACAGTTGAAGGAAAGATATGATTATGTTGAAAACGTGTTGCTGGCCTGCAGCCACACACCTGAATGCATTTCTACCAAATGATCCGGGCATCTGGTTGCAGATTCATTCATCCTCTGGTGCAGTGATTGGTTTGTTTTACAAATTATTGAGCGCTACTCCTTCTCTGTTCTATAGTATCCAGTGTAGGCTCTATGCAAGGAAAGGAGTTAGGCTTTCATTTTGCCCTTTACATTCTGACAAATGCAATTTGCTTCTGAATGCGAGCAGTTACAGGTCAAACAGAGACCAGATTGTCCTGAGGAAGGTGTTGGCAAAGAGGTACACGTTCATGTGGACACTTTCTTTGAAGAGAAAGTAAAGTAACCCTTTGCTCTACTGCATTTTCCTGGGGTTGGGGGCTTAGCTCCCTTAGCAGCTCTTTAGGGGTATGTGTGTGGGTTAATTCCTCCTTAAGGCCCAAAGAAGTTTATCACTGGTGAGAGAATTTCCCTTGCAGTCAGTGCTGGGCCCCTCTGGTTGAATCAGTCTTACCTTAGGGCAAGGACTTCTTTGCTGAAGGATCCTGTCTGTTATCTAGTTTAGCCAGTGATGCAGCACTCAGGGCCTGAGCATTTGAAATTTTTCCGTGCTAAGTCTTTGATTAGCCAGTCAAGACAATTCACAGCAGGAAACCCTGAACCCATGAAATCCCTAAGCAAGCTCCTAATGTTTCTGAATGGGCTAAGCTGCTGCTTTGTTAAGCAGAGAAATAATAGTATAGGGGACTATACAACTCCCTGCTTCTGAAATGTCTCTAGGCTTCCTAATTTCTGCAAGGGATTGGAGATTTAGCTCAGTGGGAGACAATTTTCCTAGCAATCCCAAGGCTATGGCTTGGGTCCTCAGTTCTGGGGGGAAAAGATTTAGGTTCTACTTATGAGACTAATTCTCCCCAATTTCCCATGTTTCAGGTCCAGTGTGGTGAGGCGTGCCTTTAATCCCAGCACTAAGGAGGTGCAGGCATGTGTATCTCCCTGCGGCTGAGGTAAGCCTGGTCTACATATTATCTTCCAGAACATCCACAGCTATGCAGTGAGTCTGGATGAATAAAGAAATAAATCTAAACCTAATTATGTGAAGAGTATGTTAAGACACAGATTTGCTGGGTTGCATCAATAAATTTTGGTTTTTGTTTTGTTTTCTTTTTTCCAGTTGTTTTTGAGTGATCCTGGATTTTCTTCTTTTTTAATTTTTTAAATTTCTTTATTTTTATTTTTGTATGTGCATGAGTGTTATGCTTGCATGTGTGTAAGTGCACCCATGTTGTGCAGTGCCCGCGGTAGACAGAAGAGGACGTTGGATCCCCTGGACCTGGAATTGTGGATGGTTTTTAGCCACCCTATGGGTGCTGGGATTTGAACCCAGGTATTCTGCTAGAACAGTCAGTGCTCTTAACCATTCAGCCATCTTTCCAGCCCCTTATTCTTAATAAGTTCCAGGATAAAGCACTGGCCATAAAACAACCCTTGGAAGACTGTAGGTCTACCAGTCCTGTCAGACCTGTGGCCCATAGACCCAAAGCCTCTCAAGTTGTTATGAATGGGGCCCGACACATTTGTGCACCAGAACTTCATGTCACAGAGGAAAAAATTTAGAAACTCCTGGAAAGGAGCAGAAAGGTAAAGCTGAATGTGTTACTGAAGTCCTTGGCTCCATTACTTTATACTCCAAAATACCAAGTGGTATGCCTACTGACCTGGTTCAGAAGACTCCTCCACATTAATGAAAAAAATTATTTCTTTATGTAAGTAAAACTGAAAATTTCCACAGTTTTATTAAAACTGAGGCGTGACATTCTTAATCTGACCACAGCTTGCCCAGAGCACTGTCACAGCTTACGGAAAAGATGAAGCAAATGTCTGAAAATAATTGCCTGTAAGTTGTGGACACAAGTTATGAGAGCTGTGAAATAGACCTTCCTCCCAGTGCCAGGCATCAGGGTCCTTGGGGAGGTACATTGGCACTGTCTTTATGTTCTTTCCTGTGGGAATCCTAATCCTAGGGACCCATGATAATGAGAATCTGTGGGAAGGCTAAAACACTCCCAAACAGATTTTGTTTATACACGGCAAGGAGGAAAATATCTCTCTCTCTCTCTTTCTCTTCTCTCTCTCTCTCTCTCTCTCTCTCTCTCTCTCTCTCCTCTCATCTCTCTCTCTCTCCTCTCTCTCTCCTCTCTCTCTCTCCTCTCTCTCTCTCTCCTCTCTCTCTCTCTCTCTCTGTCTTGCTCTCTATCTCTCTTTCTCTGTGTATGACAGAGGTAAACCTTTTACTTCCTTCCTTGTTTTTTGGGGACAGGGTCTCCACATTCCTGGGGCTCACAGAGTAGGATAGGCTGGCTGGCCAGCCAAGCTTCTGCTTGTCTGTGTCCCCGGTTCTTGGACCACACAACCTGATTTTAAAATATATTTTATTTAGTATTTTCTGTGTATGAGGTTTTTGCCTGCATGGATGTAAGTGCATCATATGCAGGCAGTAACCTCAGAGGAAGGAAGGAGTCATAAATACCTGAAATGGAAGTTACAGATAGTTGTTGGCCAGCATCCGGGTGCTGGGAGCCAAATCTGGGTCCTCTGCAAGAGCAACAAGTGCTCTCAACCATTGAGCTGTCTCTCCAGCCCCCACCCCTTTTAAAATATTTTATTTACACCCAGTTTTATATGTGAGTTGTAGGGATTGAACTCAGGCCCTCTTTGTTCCACGGCAAGAGCTTTACTGACTGAGGTATCTCCTCATCTCTTAGGAAATCTTTTTTATTTTTACTTGTGTTATTTTTGTATATTTTAACAAATGACATATGTCTGTGTGGTAAAAGGTGTTTTATGTATCAACTGTGGAATGCTTGAATTAAATGAATTAACATATGCATCACCTGAAATATAAGAGATTTGCATTGATACCAAGCACAAGATTTGACACTATTCATAGTACATTCTTCTGTCTTTTGCTAGGCCAGCAGGGGAAGTAGTCTGCTTCAGTCCCAGGTAGAAATTATTATAGGGTGACATATAGTTTATCAAGGTTGCTGATGGCAAAAAAAATCTAATGATATTTGGAAGTGCCATGGCTGAGTCAACACCTTTGGAAGGCAGAGGAAGCACCTTGAATCATCTTTTAACCTTCTCATGGTATTTCTTTGGGTTCCAAGCGTAGCAAAGAGGTAGCATGGCTGACTGTTTCCCTGACAGGCCTTTTCCTCAAGGATGTCAGGTCAGGAAGGGAATTTCCAGCAGCTGACAGGGAATTCATTTGCCCTATAACCAAATTTCCTTACTTGTTTACAGGAAAATGAACATCAGAAAGAGTGCTTCCATTAGTAATGAACTGAAACAGAGGCAGTTGTGGGGGTATGCACCTGTTAATCCCAGGACTACTCAGGTGGCAGAGGCAGAGAGGCAGGCTGATAACTGTGGATTGGAGTCCAGGCTCATCTACATACCAGCTCCAGGCTAGAAGGGCTACATAATGAGAACCTGTCTGAAAAAGAAAAAGAGATAAAAATATTTATCACAGTTAGGTCATTGTCTCATATGCCTGAAATTTCCGAATTTTAGCACTTTGGAGGAGGCTGAGACAGGTAAGGAACGATTTTTTAACGTTTTATTTATGATTTATTTATTCATTTATTTTAATTTTTTAAAGGTGTGCAACTGTTTTGCCTGCATATATGTAACTGCACCATTTGTAAGCAATGGCTGTGAATGTCAGAAGAGGGCACCTGATCCCCCGGAACTGAACTTATGGATGGTTGTTTGCTGCCATGAATATGCTAGGAATTCGACTTCCCTGCAACATCAGCCATGTTTCCAGCCCTAAAGATAATGGCTATGAGGCAAACCTGGCATACAAAAATTATTTTTGTCTAAAAAAACAAACCAAAGAACGACTTATGCTTAGCACTGATATTGATATTGACAGACTTTATCAGTAAGCAAAAATGTTTAGCAAGTACCCAGCGCCCCCAGAAAGAGGTGAATGCCCTTTATCTGTTTTTGATTCTGAATACTGTTTTCTTGTCTGTTGTATGTATACATGTCATAAATGTCAGTATCTTTTACTCATTTAAATTGAGCTGTTTTTCTTGCTATAAAATAGAGTTCTTTATAGACTCTGAACCGCTTGGGAGGTACTTGTCTTTCACCCATTTTGTCTACCTGAGTGTTGTCACTACACTGCTTGTATTGTTCTCTGCTGTACAAAGTGTCTGTGTTTGGAAGAATCCTATTTATCCACATTTACTTTTGTTGTTTCTGGCATCGGATTCAAAAGCCTTTGTAGACAGTGGCATGTAGTTTTTGTAACTGCCTTTTTGACTCCTACTTTTCAGCCTTTCATTTGATTTGAACAAAATGCATGGATTTGTGATGTTTCTTTGTGAATGCTTTGGATGGGGGTGCAAATAATAGCATATTTGAGCAATTATATGTCAAGATGACTTGCACTATGTAGGTTTAAAATGACAAAGACCCAGGTTTCATTTAAAATATGCTGCTGAGTTATAGTCAAGTAGACATTTATATGCAATGAAACTTATTCTCTTGTATTCTCACAACAAGGAGGTTCATAAGATTCTACAAATAAATTTTAGTCAAAGTTAAAAATGGAAAGGTATAACAGATGATTAGACAGAAAAAGTGTTCAGTATGAGGAGTCACAATAGACAAAAGAGAACATTTGGTAGGGTTTTCTCACCCTCAAAGAAAAAGAAAAACAAAACAAAAGAAAAAACCTCAGAAGGAATCATTTTTTAAAACACAGGAACATGGAGTTTGAAATGCTGTGACAGCAACATTTCATTTGAGACAAGCTTCTAGAAACTATGCCTGAACTCTTCTACTGTATGACAGTCCTCACTCACACCTGCCCCCAACACGAGTTAAAGCTTCTTGGTACTGTGTTTGTCCTGTGGCTAG